ACAGCGTGTTGGAGAGATATGAGCAGCACAACTTGGTGCTGAACTGGGAGAAGTGTCATTTCATGGTGCAAGAAGGAATAGTCCTTGGGCACAAGGTCTCTGAAAAGGGTATTGAGGTTGATAAGGCAAAGGTGGAGGTGATGGTGAATTTGCAAACCCCCACTTCAGTTAAAGGGATAAGGAGCTTCCTGGGTCATGCAGGGTTTTATAGAAGATTCATAAAGGACTTCTCAAGGATTGCCAGGCCCTTAACAAGACTGTTGTGTAAGGAAGTGGATTTCATCTTTGATGCTGAATGTGAAGAAGCCTTCAAGTTGATCAAGGAGGCATTGGTTAGTGCACCAATAGTTCAGGCACCGGACTGGTCTCTACCTTTTGAGGTCATGACAGATGCTTCTGACTTTGCTGTTGGAGCAGTACTTGGACAAAAGAAAGACAAGAAGCTGCATGTGATCTACTATGCCAGTAGAACACTTGACTCTGCCCAAGAAAAGTATGCTACAACTGAAAAGGAAATGCTGGCAATAGTTTTTGCCTTTGATAAGTTCAGAAGCTACCTGGTGGGATCAAAGGTCATTGTGTATACCGATCATGCAGCCCTCAGGTACTTGATGACCAAGAAAGATGCCAAGCCAAGGCTGTTGAGATGGGTTTTATTGCTCCAGGAGTTTGATATGGAGGTGCTTGATAAGAAGGGCATTGAGAATGGGGCTGCAGACCATCTCTCAAGGCTGAGGATTGAAGAAAAAGTTCCCATAGATGATACTTTGCCTGAAGAGTCTCTGATGGTGCTCCATTCATACTTGGATTTTGAGGAAGTAGAGAGCATTCAAGAAAGGAGGATGCCTTGGTTTGCAGACATAGTGAACTATCTTGCATGTGGGGTGGAGCCTCCTGAATTAGATGCGCTACAAGAGGAAAAAGTTCTTCAGAGATGTCCAGAGATACTATTGGGATGAGCCCTACCTCTATGTTCTGAACAAGGATCAGCTTTACAGAAGGTGTCTTGCTGAAGAGGAGATGCAACCTGTGTTGCAAGAATGTCATGGTTCTGCCTTTGGAGGTCACATGGGGGCATTCAAAACTGTGGCAAAGGTTCTTCAGAGTGGGTTTTGGTGGCCTACAATGTTCAAAGATGCCCAGTTGGTGGTTTCAGCATGTGATGCCTGTCAGAGGCATGGGAACATATCTAAGAGAA